GGCTTCGGGTCGTCAGAAGGCTTCAGGTCGTCAGAAGGCTTCAGGTCTTCAAGGCTTCAGGTCGTCAGCAGGGCTTCAAGGCTTCATGTCTTCAGAGGAAGGTCACCCGCGATTGCCAACACACTGTATTTATCTTTGCACCCTTCGTTTGTGTTTGTATGAAGCCCACGGAGGTCCTTTCCAAAAACGATCCCTGCGTGGCTTGCACCGGTGAGGTATCTTAGCACACGTGGACCATGGGAAGACGACTTGTGCCTGGGGCTTGAAACGTAGAGGCAAAGTCACAAAGAAACAGGACGCGGGATAGGTAGATTTCACTGGAATTCACTTACCCAAGTGGCTAATGTCTACGTAAAACCTACCTAAGTGGCGATTCACATACCTAGGCTTGTAGGATCTTATAGGTACCAATGTCAGCCACGCTGAAACCTGGACGATACAAGCATGGGTGTGACCAACTGGGGACTATATACTGATCAGATAAAAGAATCGGATTGACACAACCATCTCTAGCTACATATTGGAAGTTCTCCAGCCAAGTGGTTTTGACACTATCAGTTGAATGTGTTTGTTACGCGACAGTTTTCGGGCCAGTTGGCTTCTATGTTCGAATAAGTTTCAGCTAAGACTGGCTTTCATTTTGGTGTCGATTCTCTTCGAGCAAGTGGTTTTGCAGTCGGATTTGAAACTGTTCTTGCGAACCTGGCATTGGATGAACCAGAGCATCAATCATCTCAGCCAAGCCATAGAACTCGCCTTCCCGTTGTGTTTTTTTATGTGCGAGGCATGAGGTCTTTGCATTCTCAAGCAGAGCACTGATGCGAACTGAACAGTTCCAGCACTTCTCCAAACGCCCAAGCCATGTCCAAGCCGATGGGCAAAGGACAGACCGTTCTGCACAGCTTTGTTGGGTAGACCTGTGGGTGCCCAGGGTATCTCACCAAGAAAAAGCCAGGAACCCACGGCCCCTGGATGAGTCCTGATAGAGTCCTTAGCTGCTTTAGCTTTGCATTGGATGTATCCCGATCTCCGAAATACAGCAAAGCACCAGCACCCATCTTGAGATGTCCTGTGCAGTGACCGCCTCATCAGGTGCAGACAATTTGGTCAGCACCAATGGCCACATCAGTCGCCACCAAGCAGGGAAGATCCGTTACATGGACTCGCGCCAGGTGCGAATGACTCAAAATTGCGGTTCCGGGCAGAGACTCTGTGGGTGACTTTTTTCATGGGCGGAGACAAACATGTTATGGAATCTTTCAATCAAACTCCCTCTTTGACAAAAGATTGAGTAAATTTTAGGATATAGGGACCCTTGATATCTGACATGTCTTTTTGGCGTGAAAGAGGGACTAGGGAAGTTGAGAGAGATTTACTGTATGTTATAATGTCTATTATTATTGCTATTATATGTTATATGATTAGTTGTTTTGCTTGATAACCTGTTGTCTTTGTTAACGGTGTTTGTGCAGTCCGCACCGAATCCAGCCATCAAATGAGCTGAATTCTGCATGAAGTCTAGAGGATGAGTATCTCCAGCAGCTGCCTTTCAGAAACCGTATTATTTGATAGGTACAAGATGGTACAAGCTCCTTTTCTCCGTGTTCAATTCAATGCTTTTTCTCCCCCCGAAACTACTGTCCAAACTATTTGCAACTGCCATGGTATCGCGAAGACCTCTTTCATCCCGAGCAAACAGGACGAGCAGGAACGGGAAATCACGATGAAGTCCAGCTCCATCGCACTCCGCTGGCTGAGCCCCAAGAACGAAGCCTTCCTGGTGACTGGGCCGGTCGCCGGTCGTGGAGGGACAGGATTCTTGACGTCTAGACTGGGGGACAGGAGATGGGACAATGCTTTGCTTGCCTGATCTTGCTTGCTACATTTTAGTTAGTTTGGGATGTCCAGATGTGGTTCTTCGTGACTATATAACCTTTGCATGTGTCCACGGACCTACTGACGGAAATCATCGAGCACACAATAGCACACATTATATATCAGAATATTGATGAAGTGTTTTCAGTCAGGTCCGGCAAATGGAACATCTTCACCCCAGGGCTCCAAATGCCTCAGAAGGTATTTGGACCCTCCAAACCCACTCCAAACACCTTGTCAGAAGGTACTTGGGAGCCCTAAGGTCAGAAAACCCGGATCAATTCGAACGACATGTCTCATGTGTCCCTTTGTGACATCCGCTTCAGCGGATCCTGAAGCCAACCCCCAACCTCAACCTCCTTCCTTCACTCAATGGCGCCGGCAGGCGCCGGGCTCGTCGTCCACAGGTGAATCTCATCGACTCGCCGGGCCACGTGGACTTCACCTCCGAGGCCGGAGCACCGTCGAGCGGTGGAGGAGCACCGGTGCTTTTTTTGGGGGGGGAGAGGAAGGGTTGGAGCATGTTGGGTGGGTGGTCTAGAATAGAGAGTGATTCAGATTCTAGGTCGTGTTCTAGGTATATAAACGTTATACAATATATGATTGACAGTCTATATAATCGTTTATTTACACTTGGGATTTCATGGACTTTGATAGACTGACAAGTCAATCTAGTAGTGGGGGTTGGTGGTCACATGTGGTCACAAAAGGTTCTGGATTTATTTGCACAATGAGACGAGTGGCTTGTGAATGACATTGACCAAAAATGGCCAGAAAACAAAGCTTAATCGGTCAGTGAATTCTTTCATGGCCGCTCTGCCAAAACATGCAAGTGATGAGCGTGCATTGCCAGCTGCTGTGGGCATCCAGTATCTACGATCTCAAGCCCGCCTGAAAAGAATACAAGTGCTACTAGACCAGTGATAGTACTCTGGCAGAGGACTGCAGATTCGCAGGAATGCGTGCTTTTCCTCCACTGTGTTTTGGCAAAGTGGTATGAGATCAGCGGCTAAATGGTTAGGGCATTGTTCCTCTTGATTTGCAGCAAAAGGTCGTCATTGATTTGGATGGTTGCAGTGAGTGCTCCCTGGTCCGCTTTCTCATTCCTTTTGTGTCTCTTGTGCTGCGTGCTTTCTTTGTTTCCTTATTGTATTTCGTTGTGCAGTTTCGGACAGATGAACACTTGCGTACCCCCGAGTCCCGCCGTGCTTCAACCGCGTCCCGCCGCCCGGAGCTGTGAACGAAATGCTGCCGAGAGGTCTCGACGGCTGCGCGCTTGGCCGATGGCGCCTTGGTGGTGGTGGACTGCGTCGAGGGCGTCGAAGCGCAAACCAGGACCGTGCTCCGCCAGGCTGAGGGAGTGGAGCTCACAGCTCCTGGGGGGGGTGCGCCAGGCTGAGTTGGTTGGCGGTTTGCTGACTTGCAATTTGTATACAGTTGGTTAAGGCGGTTAAGGGATGTGCCTGAGTGTGGTGCAACGTGCCACCAACCTCACAAACGAACAACAGTTAGGAGGACGGCATCATTTTCCTGTTCCGTTGACTTGTTGCCATGCGCATGTGAGAAATGTGAATTCAGACAACGAGGAGGCAGATGACTTGCCTGCTGTGAGGGATGGCTTTGCCTAAACCCGACAGGATCCGACAGGGTGCGGCTGAAGAGTGACCACTGCATGACTGCTGCTTCCACCTGTCATCGGTCTTTGTGGGGTCATAGTATACAATATAGTATTAATAAATATATTACTAAAATACATTTACATCAATATACATACCATCATGCCGTTGAACTCGAATCCACTTCCATCAACTACGTGACTTTTTCCGGGCGGGTCCCCGGACGTCACCGCGATCGCCGTGACCCGGAGGCCTATCGCGATCGCGTGAAGTCCTGTCTCTTCTTGAACAAGGCACGAAATTGGGCAACCGAGGAAGGGACGTTTGGACTCATTTGGAAGTCGTGTTGGTGCCTGGTTTTGTCAGCTTTCCGTTCAGTCTTTTTTGTCAGGTGCTAGCAACACTCACCACTTGTGTTTGTGTTTTCCTCAGACCTCCATTGTAGCATCCTCTCACAGAATTGTGATTCAGAAATTGTTTTTTCTACTGGTAGTGGAATCGGAACCAAGTGTTTTTTTGGTTTCAAGTTAGTCATGTCGAGTCACGTCTTGAGTCATGAGTCGGAACGCGTTAGATACTGCGGATCTCTCGAGTAGAAACCAACGATCATGTTTTTTTGTTGTTAACTCGACATGAATAGTTAACACCTCATTGTTGGACTGATCGGTGTTTTTTCGAGTGACAGAATCACATCCATGCAGATGGTCACCCTACAGATGTTTCAAACCTGATTCAAGGGCGGAAATGGATGCAGTAACCAGAAACACCTGCCATAGGGTTGAAGAGAAGTGCACTGGAGTAATTACCGTTCTTGAGAATGCACGTGTCCACATGTAATCTTGTTTGAAAGACAGATAGCGGTTCCTGTTGAGTCAGCAATCATCAGCATATGTCTCGGCCCAAAAACGATGTTTCACAAACAGTCGTCACAAACTTCACTTCGTTTCATGTTGTGTCGACAAACCGTGCGCTGGCGGGGTGGCACGCCACCCCTGCTAGTCCAGGTGGATCGCCTGATCTACGAGCTCAAGCTCTCACCGATGGACATCCATTTGTGGCTTAAGCGAAACAGAGGATGGAATTGTGTTGGTTGGGTTTGTAGCTTCTTGTTACGTTCGTAGTAAGAGTGCTACTAGTAGTACGGCCAGGAGCCCCCGTTCGTAGCGTTTTGGCTCCTAGTAAGGCCAGGAGCCCTTGTGACGTTAGCGATGGCCTCCAACCTAACTACTTGCGATGACCTCCACCTAATAGCTTCTTGTTTTTGTTTGTCCAGAGGATGAATCAACGAACCCTATGGTGGGAGAGACTGAGACCATTTAATGGTTGTGAGAGGAGACATGGGGAGACCCTCATGACTCTGGGGAACGAAAGAACTATACAGTTGACTCAAACTCGTGCAAAAATATGATAATAGGCACCCAAAAGCGAGTTATTATGCTCATGAACCTTGAGGAACATCGCAAGAGACCAGGCCTACAAAGCGTACAGAGAAGGGGTGATCAAAAGATGTGAAGCCGAGAATTGTTAAAGAGTTCCAGGAACTACATACGCCGCCAGCGTTCTTCCAACAAAATAACTATAGATTGTTTACTCAGGTTGCACCTAATGTCCAATAGACTTCAACAGACTGACATGAACTTTTGCTTGAAGATCTCCCAAATGAACCGATCTGCGATCTCCCTGGAACAGCGCGATCGCCGCGTGGAGCGCCAGAGACTGAGGCGATTGCTGCGCATCGTGGAGCAGATCAACGCGGCCAACCAACAGCTCTTCTCCGAGGACGAAAATCCATGTCAGTGGAACCGGCCTCCTGAAACATGTGGCATGTCCAATGTCCAACTTATAATAGGTTTTGACATGGTTTGACTGAGGGATGACAAAAAGAAACCTTTTAGATAACATATGATAATCATATTGATACAGTAACACGTTTAAACTATAAAACTATATATTATAGTTGAGTTCCCCCCACTGCATCTTTCATTGTTTACTCACTTTGTGGTGCCCACGATTGTGGTGCCCACGATAAGCAAAACCCTTGGTTGCACTATGATCCACTCCCTTTTTTCCAACATTCACATCCTTCAATGGTCACTACTCACTACACTGGCTATTTGTTGAGCTGTTCGCTGCTTTTTTCAAGTCTTCCGTCCAAACCCGCCATCCACCGTCCAGGAGGTCATGGCGGGTGCAGCCACTTCACGGCCACGCAAGGGCTCGGGAGAGGCCCTGGACGCCGTGGACCTGTCGGAGGAATTGGACTTCGACGACGAGGCGGGAACGGAACGGAGCGACGGAGCGACGTTTGGAGCCTGGGTGGGGAGTTCTGGGTGAAGGGACGATGATTGGGTGGGTGGGTGACAAGGCGTGTGTTTGAGTGTTCGTGTTGGTGACAAGGCTCAAGTTGAATATTTTTGGAGTTTGGAGTCTTGGTTGGTGTGGCGTGCACTTCATATCATTTCTTGGTTACTTTGTGATAATGTTCCTTTGTGAGCACGAGGTGGTGGAAGCGTTGGACCCTGGCTGTCGGTCCTGAGTCAACATAAAGGGTGTTGCAGGGATGTTCAGGGTAATTTGGACTGTTGCAACCGGAGTGCAACCTCACCAAAAGATGGTGACACATACATTGCCACACAAAAGTGTATCGACACTGATGATCGATCCCAAAAAACACATCAGTACACAAACCAGACCACAATTACTAGACCAATTTACTGAAACTGTCTCCAAAAAGACGCTTCCGCTTCCACCTGTCAATACGTGTCATGTTCTGACCGGTGTCTCCCAGGACCGCTGGCGCTACAGCCCAGAACTGGGCAATGTGGCCTTTGGCTCCGCGGTGCATGGCTGGGCCTTCCGCCTGGAGCGCGGGAGTGCGCGACGTTTGGACGGCTGAGCGCGGGGTGGGGATGCTCAACGGGTATGGGTGAAACAATTACTGTTACTGTAGGGGAACATTGTTTTAAAAAGCACCATCTTGGGATCCCTAGGGTAAATGAAGACATGCATGAGATATGTATGATGATGATGGGTATGATGGGTATGGCTCAGCGTTCAAGGAGTCGAGTGTTCTTGATTTCATAGATGCTTCTTTTTCCTTGAGCAGTAGGCTTTGGGAGGCTTCAGATGCTTGACCTATGACCTATAGTCACTGGACAATCGGAACCAGAGGGTACTAGTAGGCGACAGTTAGAGAATATAGAACATCTTCGGAAGCATTACTGGACCTACTGGCAATCAGAATCACCCTGAAGAGTTCTGTCCAAGTTCTGCCTCACTCGCGTTCACCACGGGTGCGGCCCTCATCTAAGCTTATGAGGGCGGGCCGACTGGCCATCGTGGCCAGATCCATGAAGCTTTCAAGTATTTGAAAACGAATATGGATAATGGATAGTTTATTTAGTTTCACAATGCTCGAGACATCTTGAGACATGTTGTATCATGTCGATTAAATGTTCAGTAATTATGGTGGAGATGGGCCCCACTCCATGACATCGTAGCAGGACACCTTTGCCACCATGTGGGCGGAAAAGCTGAAAGCGTTCCTCGAAAGCATGGGAGACGATGGCGGGATAAAACCCTTCCCGGCGTTCCATTGAAGGTTTGCGTTCCATTGGAGAGTCCTTTCTGGAAAGATAAACACTGGTTCATTCCGGGCACTCCCTTGACATTCACTCCACATACTGCATGCATGCATCATGCATCCCAAATCGGGCAGACACCACAAGGGAACTTGCACATCAGCAGAAGCTTCTTGCACTTCAAAGGGGATTAGCTTTGTAGAAGAAACTTGTTCTTCATCTTGCCTTGGTGTTCGACAGCCAGATCTTAGCAAGAGGTTGCACTCGAAGCAGTTCGAGAAAAAATATCCAATTTGGACCAAGCTTTTGGCCACCGACATGCTGGCGACGTGGTGAATCCTCCTCCCACGTGTGGGCGAAGAGAAAGGGCGAGACCTGCAACGGGTGAGACGTGTCAGTTCTGGCTCTGGACCCTTTGGACCCAGCTTGGTCGATTTGGGTCCTCCTCCGTTCGGAGCCAACGTGAGCAGTTCTTGGCATTCGGTGCCTCCCATTTTGGGGGGCGTCGGCATCGAATTTCGGTTGTGGTACTTAACCTCACTGCCCTCAAAGTCGAGGCTCCAACACACAAGCACCATTAGCCCTATATATAAACTCTCTTGTGTATTGTATTCTATGTAATTACTATTCGTATCTATTCATCATGTGTTTCCAATTTCTATCTATTTATTTTGATCTCCTGGATCTTCCAACGACCAAAAAATTCTGGTAGTTTTGGTTATTGACCCGGTTTTCCGCACAAGCGCCCGCAAATCAGCGCAACCGACAAAACGACCGCAAATTAGCACAAAACGCGCGCAAAAAACCAGCAAATGACCACAAAAATCCGCAAAATAACGCAAAACAAACAAAACGACCAAAACGACCATAAAGCCAAAACAACCATAATTTTTTGGTAGTTGGAAGGTCCAGGCTATATATTTTGTATAACCATGTTTAAGGTGTCTTCATCTCTTTGGTCCAAGCAAGCTCAGCATCGCCTTCCGCGTCCGTTCCACGGTTCCGTGTTCCACCGCGTCCGTTCTCCAGGAAGCCGCAGAACTTGCAGCGGGTCCTGTGGGGCGACTGGACCTACCGACCCAAGGAGAGGGTCTCCCGGCCAACGAACGGAACCGGCCAACGGGCCACGGAAGGACGGAGCGAAAGGACGGGGGGCTCACGGCCGGCTCCTGGCCTTAGGACCGAACGGAGCTCTAGGTTCGCTAACGGAGCAAGAAACGTTTCAATTTGAGGGGACCTCTGACGTAGGTGTCCAAGGAGGGGACCTCTGGACATCATGTACGTTCCATGGAAACCGTGCCACTATCTATTTGGGGACCACGACTATGATGATGAAGATTTGCATGGGAGTTCAATGGATTGAACAGAATTGGGATTTGAGGATTTGCCATGAACATCCTGAACTGGGAGTTGCGGATTGTTCATGCGTTGTTTTCACGTGAATTGTTCAGTTCGATGGTGGAGAGTTGGGCCGGAAGAGAGGGACGGACAGAATTGAGGGAGATTGGATGGTGATGCTGATTTAGAAGGGATTCGATCACTCCTTGTCATGCAGGATTGATTGCATGGAAACTGATTGGAGGGAGGCGGTGCTTCAGCTAGTTTCACAATTTCGATTTGATATATTCTCTCTGAGGGCATTTGGATGGATTGAGATCTATCATGATAAATCGGATCTATACATTCTGAGGTTCCGCCACCTTCCACATCCAGTCACCCCAACTTTCGGCCTTCAAACTCGTCCCGAACTTGTTCGCTCCGGCGAGGACAAGAAGGCAGTGATGAGATCCTCGGACTCCCAGGCAAACACCATGTTTGCCAGCTTGGTGATGCTGCTCGGCCTCTCAAGGGTTCCCCTGAGACGTCACGTTTCGGCAGGATGAAACGGTTTCAAAACGAGAGGGCATTTGGGTGGGTGGCAGAGGGTTCGGACCATCCAAGGTTGGAAAACTAATTTGCTTTCATGCTTTCAGAAGATTTGTGTTCAAGACTGACTACATGACATTTGTTCCAACCAAGCAAGGTGCATGGTTTCATTATATATGTCCAATTGCTGTTCCTATTCCGTGGAAGAAGAACTCCAGCAGCGCCTCAAAGTCATCCCACTATCCGTGAACCTCCTCATCATCTCCTCATCTTGGGAGGAAGACCTGGAGGCCAGACTTCCCGACATGACTCATGACCCAATTGTGCCATGCGACCTCGGGTTACCCGAGGAAGCCCATCTGCGACTTCTACGACTCGGTCTACATGGACCTGGACCGTGAGCGCTTGAAGGGCATGAGGAAGCAAATCAAGGCGGGTGCGACAGGAGCGGTTCGGAACCTCTTGGAGGACATGAACGTGTTTGAGGACAGGAAAAAAAAAGTTGTGCTCAAGACACAGGATTGTAGATTTAGCACACGATGGTTCTGCAGGGATGTCAAAGTACGCTACAACATGTTTCATATTGTTGTATTATGTCTCTTAAGAATTTGTTTTTACAGTGAAGCCAAGCTGGGCGGAGAAAAGGTCGGAACTGTCATTTGTTTCATCATGTTTCGGCCTTTGTGTCTTTTATGCATTGAAGGATGTTAAAAGCCACTAGTAGCGATGGCCTCCAACCTACTTGCGATGGCCTCCACCTGGTTGTTTGGGACGGAAGAGGCCAAAAACATCCAAAAAACTACAAAAGAACGGGCATCACTTGGAACATGCTTGGACGCTTGAAAACCGGGCCCCTCATTCAAAACCGTTTCGATGGCTTCCGGTGTCCGGTGCATGGAGGCCTGGGACGATGTGGACTTTGACAAGCTCACAGCAGGCAGAGTGGTCAACGGATGAAGTGTGGGAGGGAGAGAGGACATCTTGAAGCCATCGAACCATGGGAGAAAGGAGCCTGAAAGGCAAGAAGCTTGATATTTGATATTTGGTCAATGTGAGAACACCACCAACAAAAACATATATTGTAATATATCGCAATCGCTCACTTGCAGCAAGTTCACTGGATTCCAGTGCTAGTTCCTAACTCAGATGCTGGTGGTGGACCAGTATGTACCAGTTGTCCGATATCGAACAATGTGAACGTGCTGTTCTTAGGTCCAGATCAGCTCCATAGTGGGATCAGGCAAGTGAAATCAGATGCCCTCCCTGAAACAAGGATAAAAGTGGATGGCATGGCCCCTTGCCAACATCTTTCGACCAACATTTTGTCCACTTCCATGTGTTTTGGAGCAAGGGCGGTTTGAATTCCTATCCCGGCGTCCCCAATCCTTTTTCAGCGGGCTGCGACTCCGGCGCCAGGCCCGGCGGCCACCAAGGAGTTGGCGTCGAGGCAGGGACCAGGTCGTCGGAATGTCCGATGGCGCCGAACGCGCGGTGGCGAGTGGCGCAGGTGGCTACCCTTCGCGGACAGTGTCCTGCGCATGGTCAGTGAGCTGCCAAGTCCTGCTGAAGCAGCACCACAGCGGCTGCCAGTGCTGTGCCCCAAGTGGTGCCCTGGAAAGAACCAGGAGGGGCTGCCCCATGCGGCCCTCGTGGGTAGGGAAGGAGTTACAGTTTCTCTTTCATCTTCCTATGATACAATCCACCCCACGTTGCAAGCGCCACAGAAACCCTCCACGTTGCCTCGTTTGACACAAGCCACCTCTATGCCCGCCGTGTGCGTCCACACACGCCGCCCAGCCGAGGTTTACGCCCAAGGCGATCGACCACCCCGTGGCCCGGGACCTGCAGTTGAGTGACCCCAATGGCAGCTGCGTGGTTTACTTGGCGAAGTTCCTGGCCGCGGATCTGGAGAACCTGGTGCTCACAGGAACACGTTGGACAGCGCGGATGTCTGTGTTTGGGATATGTTTAAATATGTTTATAAATGTTTATAAACATATACACGAGTCTTGATGAGTCTTGGAGTTTCTGGCTGCCAGGTGGCTTGGGTGAGTTGTATGTTGTTGTGTTCTTTTGATGAGACCTTTAGGTCCCTGAGTTTCTCAAACGATCCGATCGAGTGTCGGGTGCAACAAGGGAAGAACCGACACCCGACACCCGAATTCGGGTGGATCATGATGCAGTCTATGTCGGTCCCTCGAGCATTCGTGTTGTTCAGCATCCAACCAGCGTCGACGTCTCAAGTTTCCTCGAGCATCAGGGGGCCGACGATTTCAGTCCCCGACACCCCGTGGGACATCAGGCGACTGCCATTGGTGCGCACCAGGACCCAGAGACCCAGAAGGGGGTGGTTCATGGGGGTGGTTCATGCCCCCCTTTATAACCACTCTATCTTACTATAGTCACACCGAATCCAGGAGTCAGCTGGGCCGCCCCAGACGGTAGCTGGGCCGCCCCAGACGGTGGTAGGAGTCAGACTGCTTCGGTCAGGAGATACGCCCAAAGGTGAACAGGACGTGGACTTCGTGGGGATTTGCCGAGTCTTTTCAGGACGGGAATGGGATGGTGGAGAGCGTGAGCTTGGACCCCTGGGTGGCACTGCAGATTTGGCCGAAAGAACTTACTTCTTGAGGAACAGATTGGCAAAGTCATGCACAAGATGCCAATTAGGATCAATTCGGTGCACCAAGGCCTAGACGGGGTGCTATTCAATGATGGTTAGTCGTTAGTATATTAACCTCTTGTCTTGTGCCCTTACAACTCCATCGGGGGAAGCAGCAAAGCTGCTTGAGACCAATCCAGCATCTCAGATGTCCAACGCCAGGCACCCTTCGACCTGGGCTCGAAGTCCACATGCAGCCCGACCCTTCACGGGTTCTGCGGGTGCAGCGGATCTTCCTGTTGATGGGCCGCTTCCTGCAAGAGGCCCCATTGTGCTGGGGTGGGGGAGGGTGTGAGATGGTGCAGCCCAATATGGATGTGGCAACCAACAATCATTCTGACTTAAAGGTGCGACCATGCAAAAACCCATGGAAAGACTTGGAGGTCGACCATGAAAGACCTCTAGTTACCAACCCAATCCAACCCACTTCACCCCCCCCACCCATCGTCCCAAGACCCCCCACCCACCGCGCCCGTGCACCAGGTCACCGAAGCGCCCAGCGGCTCCATCGTGGCGATCGCCTTGGAGGGCGAGTCCTCCGAGCTGGGTGCTTTGGTCGGTTGGGTCGGTGGCCTGGGAGTGGAGATGAGAGATGCGAGAGATGGACTGGATTTGACCTGGTTTTACTGTAGGTGGTTTGAGTTCCTGGTGATCGGGGGGGTTGGGTGGGACCATCTACTACATCTATGAGTTGAAGGAGATATTCGAAGAGAGAGAGAGAGAGAGAGCGAGAGTAGAGTCTTTGCATTCTTCATTCACTGAGGTTGAAATGGGCTGAGCGTGTTGAAATGGGTCTTCTACATCCCCTTGGATTTAGGGTCGTCCCCAGTAAGGGACGGATGATCTAGAATCTAGCGTGCCTAACGGGGGGTTAAGACACTACGGCTTTCTTTGTTTGATCCACACCCTTTTGATGATGAGACAATTTAACGCCATCACTCGCATATGTTGTCATCATAAGATAAATGAAGACCTTTCTTCTGTACGTTTACAGAAAAGGTAAATACGTGCTCTGGACTTTGCAATCACGTCATTTTTCTAACGGGGGCATGCGGCATGATGCTTTTGGCATCTTTTGGCCACGTACACCAAGCACGAGAGTCATGGTCACAGGTGTCACAGCAACGACCAATGAGCAAATGTACGCAGTTGAATTGACATGGACCAGCACAAAGAATCTTTGCATGCTTTTCCCGCCTTCAAAGAGTTTTACTTGATTGTACTCTCGTGTACTATTATTGTCTATTGTTGTTTTCTGGAAATATCAGTCCTGAAAGAACCTGCAACACCTAGTTTTGAACCCATTGGTCAGGATGTCACTGAGGACAAAGTACTTGCTTGTTGTGCATATAGCATGTTCCAACTCGGCTGTGAAGCTGGAGGTGTTGAACGGTGCCTGACGCTCTGTGAAGACTCTGATGGTCCTTCCTTCGAAACGCCTTACAGCAATCAGGCGTGCATTGGGTGTGTTGGTACGGTCCTGCTCAATCACGTGCCACCCTTCCATTCAAACAAATGGCACTCATTTGTCCAACTCCCAGTTTTGCTTTTGTTTTTTGATGTTTAAAGTTTAAACCCATGCCACCTTTCCTGCCAGCTGTGCATCCGCGTGTTGATCCGCGCGTCAACTGGCGTGACAGAGGCCTTCGCGATTGTGCGCGTGAGCATCGAGCCAGAGGATGTGGCAAACTTGAAGGCGCGAGCTACAAATCGGAAAACTCCCTAGCCCAATATAAAGGTTGTTCGACTGGTGAGCCTTTCCTTATGTAATTACAAGCTAAAGAAGGGTGTCTAGATACTATTCTCCAACAAACATGGGCATTGGGAACGATCGAGATATTTCATCCAAGGGTGTGGCATCCACCGTCCATGGGCTGGAGTGTTTACAGTGAGGATTTTGAGGAAACTCGCCGGATACCACGACCAGGTTTCCTCTACCACGACCAGGTTACCTCAACCACGACAAGAAAAACTTTTGGTCCGCAAGATTTGAATCTGTCCAGCTAGGGGGACGCAGCAGGAGTTTGCACCTTCCATCAAGAGAAACAGGAATCAGGTCAGGTGAGCCTGCACACCTGTTCTGGGGTCCATGGGTAATCCATATAGACAAATGAGCAGCTTGCCGATACTTCAAAGATCCAATTTCTTGATGTCCATGTTTCAACATTCTCAAAATTATCAAACGATTACAAATTTAAAAGGTATTCACTGAAAAGGGATTCACTAAAATCGATAATTATGGATTCACCCAACAATAAGTATACAAATTGAATCAAATTGACAATTTTGTATATTAAAAACATAATAAAGATATGCATATATATCAAATTTCATGGGCCTGTCACTTGAAAAGAGTCACGGCCTTCAGGCCCTGGAGCGTGGACTCCGATTGCTGCACCGTGCAGACCCCTCGGTGAGCGTGGAGGTCGGTTTCGTCGTCGGTGGAGCGGTGGAAAGGCGATTTGGTTCTGTTCATTCCCTAGGGCTCCTGGCCCACCTCCGTTTCGAAGATGGTTGGGGTGGATGCCAGGGGGATCTAACCACCGAACGTGAGGAGATGGGCCAGGAGCCCTAGGGATTGAATGTTGAGTTATCTTGGTTAGCTTAGTTTCATGATTGGTCATAAGTGGTTCATCTAGAGTTAGCTTCAGCCGGTGGTCACGAGTGGTTCAGCTAGGAGTTGATGGGTGGACCTAGTAATTGAGTCAAATCGATTGACGTTCTGTTTTTGTGGCTATAGGGCCTGTTTGTTCCTGAAGGCACGACGCACCACCTGCAACTGTTGGTGTGTTTGTTTGGTTCGTGAACTGTTTCCTAGCTGTTCTCCCAATCAAACAAGGCGACGCGCCAATGAATGTTGCTAAAATGCAAGCAATTCCAACTCAACTGAACTCGTGATTGATAGACCTCATGTGGAAGGTCAAGCTCCTCAAGTTCTGAGGTGCCACTCTTTCAGGCCACTTCTAATTAGTTTGCTGGTAATTTTATATTTTTTTTAATCTATTTGTAGACTCAGTAGCCTTTTTTGTTTGAAATCCTTTTATGTTCACTGAAAACCATTAAAAACCTTTCACGCACACATCAATGAATCTCATTTCAGTTTCATGAGATTGGGAAGACATGAGGATTGAATTCCACAAGGAAACCCTTGAGGTTCGATGAGATGAGGGATGCCATGAGGGTAGGATTCCATGAGAATTAACGCTTGTCCTACTAGTCCAAGGGGGTTTCGTGAGGTGGATTTACTACAATTAGCTCTGCCAAGACCTTGTTCAACGAGTGGCTCCATCTTGGTCCGCATGGAGTATCAGCGATCTCAAAAACACAATTAATTGAAGGACACACACATGACTAACATGTACGAGTGTCCTTGTGGTCCCGGGTGTAGCAGGGTGGTCCATGATAAATCTGCAGATCATCAACTGACTGGTGCTTCGGAAGGAATCAGGGAATGGAGCCTAAGGAATCTCTATTTGCAGGTGCCATTCCCTCATTCCTTGCTTTTCGCACCAGTCAGACAGTCGACAGCAGACCATGAAAACCTCGACAGACCGGTCTCGACTTTCAGGCCATGGTCACCGGGGAGAACGTGCTGGGCTGTTGCGGCGATGAGCATTTGAAGCGATGCCTCAACGACTTGGAGGTTCGGCCGGTGACACCACGGGTACCCCCGGTACTGGTTCAGCCAGCCAAAAACCAACATGGACAAGGCCAATAGACGTTTCAAAGAACCTCCTGAAATCCTCCTTGAACAAGCGTTTCTAGTCTCTTGCCCAGTCAGGCTGCGGTTTTTCCTATGTTGATTCTTCGGAAGGTCGCCTGCAGCAAACCAATTTGGGCCAGTCTGTCCAGGACAGAACCTCGGGCACAATGGAGACCTTACACCCCTTCAAACTCTCATCTGTCGACGATTCGATTCGTGAAAACAAATAAACAATAAGAAAACGATCGAGAAAAGGAAAAGACCACTAGTGATGTTATACACCATCCAAAGGAGACGTCGCCCGGGGTGCTTTTGTCTTGGGATCCGACTGGCGGAGCCTGGCATCGGACATGTCGCGACACATGGTTCGTGTCCAAACACCACCTGTTGGAAGGTCCTGGTACGTTACGTAGTCGTACGTTCGGAAGCTGGAAGCTGAAGCAGCAGGGGGAAGGAAGGTATTTTAGACCCGAACAGCATGGGATCGATCGAAGGTCCACATGTCTTAACTTCTGGATGTTCAGCCACCTACAGATGTCCACGACCTCCATTGGAAAAGGAAACGGGCACCCGGAACGAACAAGAAGGTGACCATAGTAATGTATGCTCTGTTGTTTCATAGGATTCCCCCGTTGAAAGGGGACATGTTTTTTGTTTTATCAACCGTCTAAATCAAGTGCATTCAAGTGCTTCATTGCTGTCAGAAGCTCTACGCCCGGAACATCAAGCTCTTGGTGACGCCTCCCCTGGTCGCCGTGCGAGAGTCCTTTGCAAAGAGTGTGGAGCGGCCTGAGTTCAAGGCGTGTATCACTATTTTTGAGAAAGACATTTAATGGCATTTACTAAGCGTCATCATCCACTGTTGCAGGGAGTGGGATATATAATATCCAAGATTGAGTCATGAAGATGGGGTCGAGATACTGGACATCCTCTAAGCGCTTATACTGCAGTGTTGAATGCTTCATCATGCTGCAGGTATTGGTTTAAGACAGGTTCAGGGATTTAAGACCAACTTGGGCATCAACTCGAAGCTCACTCAACTCGCCATTGGGCGCCCTTCAACTCGCCGAATGGTTCCTTCAGCCACTTCTGACCCGTAGCCCTTCATGTTTGCCGCTCAAGAGGAGCTGTGCCTTCGCTGTGCCTTCCATATTTGCCTTGTATCTATTGGTATCTATTGGTTGGTTGATCAATAGAGGGGAGAGACTTCCCGAAACGTATTTGCCATTGACCCCAAATTCAGGTGGGCCCCTTCCGCTGTTTCGTCCGCCGACCGGCAGGTGGCCTCCCTCTTCTTGCCCATTTGGATGTCCCACCTCCACGACGCCTCCACGGAGGCACCTCAAGCGGTTCCTGCTGGTACCAGATGGTGGGTTTTCCGGCAGGGTAGGATATCAACATAGGGAGACCTCCCAGGTGTCCCGACCACCTAGAAGAAGGGACCTTATACACCAGTCTACCCAGCCAGGGCAGACTCCCTATTTTCAATACAGTTTTTCCACCATTCATCATAGGGAAGACCCATCCATTATTCCACCATTCCGCCCTATGGGCAGATGACAGATGTGTCTCCACATCATGACATCCACCATTCCATTCATGACATCCACCATTCCATTCATGCATGAATCCACCACTCCATTCCATTCATTGATGGACATCCACCCTTCCACCTCCTGAGGCCGGCTCGATGATGTCCATCCCTTCGGACGACGACACGGTGACCTCCGACGCCGGTCCCGCCGCGACGCTCACCGAGTGGCTCGGTGACGCGAACGTGTGGACTGCGGATGGAAAGAACATGAAAGAATAAGTCCCAACAATCACCGTGTTAGATGTTTTTGTTCCATCACGACTCGTGGAGCACGACTCGTGGAGCAGCGGACACTCAAGACGCTCCAAGAAGGCATCATGTCTGTATGGAGCTGCATCACAACCAAGAAGGAGCCAAGCGAGAGTGGCGAACGAAGCTCAATCACTTGAGGATCTTGAGGATTGTAGAAAACGAATCGCTAGTACTCAGTACCGTACCGGATTTGTTTGAGGCTTTCAAGGGGCAGGAATGATGCGGAATCAAAGCGTGCCATGGACTCTTGAAAGACACAATTCCTGTAGACATGGGGTGTGATCCACTTCAATGTTTGTTGGCAGGATGTTGGACAACCGACTTCAAATGTAGCAATTGCTGAGATTGACTGCAGAAGACTTGAATTGAAAGTCTTTTTGCAGATACTCAAAGACCAAAGGCTATCTATACATTTTGATACATCAATCTTGCAACTCATGGCCCTCTTTCAGGCACAGACTTCGTTTGTCAGCTCCAGCAAGACAATAAAACCTTCTCAGAGCATGTGTCCATGCACTACTAACTGGCAGGATAAGCCAAAGTAGATGTCCCAGTTAGTCTAACTGGGTCATCTACTTTGACTTATCATTTTCCCCTCCAACCAGATCCGTACAGACTAGAGATAACTAAAGCACCGCTACAGACAGCACCATCTCTTCACCACCACCAGATTTCCTTCCGCCGTTCACCACCGCGGTCAACCACCCAGGCGATGGAACATGTCCCAGAGCGGAGTCATGAGCGTCTGGACCGCCAACCGCAAGGCCTGCGTTCGGCTGAGTGCCATTGCTCTCCCCGACGAGGCCGGTCGCAGGCTGTCGATGCGGGTTGTTGGGTGGACGTGAGGCGCCGACACGCGCGACTACGGTTGGATCCTTCTATCCGTCTTCTATCCGCCCTGGGTGGGCATAGAAGAGATCGTTAAAGGATTTGAAATGCATATCTCCAAGGCCCAAACTTGGGCCCTTTGGGTGACCAGATGGGTAGATCAAGACCTCTAGCTAGATGTAGCTAGTGTTCCGGGCGCGAGCCACCCAGACTCAGAGTGGACTCCCAAGTCCCGAGACGTTTCGTTTTGAGCGGAGAAAGGAGATCGATTTGGTGCGCGGAGGTCGCCCTGAACACCTCCAGTGACGAAGGTCCCATTGGTTTTTCTATTGGTGTTCTTCCGAACTCATCAGTCTGGTGGACCGGTGGTCGGAGATGTTTGGGGCGACTCCCAGGTCCTGGCCTGGATGGATGAGCATGCTGAAGCGCTGGAGAGTGTGGTGCATCGACAGCAAGTTCCTTGGCGAGCAAGGTCGGAGCGCTCGAGTTCCGAGAATGAGTCGTGAAGAAGTACTTGTAGGGGAGTTAGGGGCACAGTGGGGCTGGGGCTGAGAACAAAAGAATGACGCTGGGGCCTAAACTCCTTGGAAAACAGGGCCTTCTATCAGGGCCTTCCTTCTAGTAAAGGGGATGTCCTGTTTATGGCTTTGGCTTTCACTGATTTTCACCTTGGATGTTCTCATGATTTTTGCTCAGCCGCAATGGTAAATAATGTTTGGACTAGACTTCATCGGTTCATGAATATTCACCCACAGGTGCAGTAGGGACTATGTCAGGGAGCGATAGGGAGAACCCAGAGACAGCGGATGTGCGGATGTGAGTTTATTATGTGCGGATTTAGGGCTGGTCCCCTGTTGAGGTCAAAACACTGACAACAGGAGATCCATCCCACCAGTTCAGGAGCAAACACGCAAATGACATGCTACGAATGTGTTGTTGTCATTGCATGCTAGAAAGGATGCTACCAAATCACACACATATATATATATACCTGGACCATCCAAGGGGTGCCCAATGGAAGCCTATAGGTGGTGTGGGGTAGACCATTGGACACCCCTTGGATGGTCCTGGTATATATTAAGTGCTGCTACAAACAAGGCAAACAACATCAAACAACAGCTTCTTACGGGCATGTCTTTGAATCATCACACGATCTTCGTGATCCTTCGCATATCCTCATGAGTCAGGCTTCTGAGTGGCATATCTCCATGTCACACGTTGGACTCCAGAAACCACTCACAGGACTCGGACACCACGTGTCTCGAGCGCCTGCTTGCCTGGCTCTGCGCGCCAGCGCCAGCGCCAGCTTGCAGGCGTCCATTGAATTGGTGGGTAGCTCGGATGGCAGCTTGATGGGATGTTTAGCGGAAGTCGAGCAGCAGTTCAGGCGCGCGCCTGCGTGGCAAAGCGTGTGCCGATCCGGTGGGGGCGGAGAAATGATGCGCCATGATGTGTGCCGATCGTGCCGAGAGTTGGCACATGAGAGTGGAAGAATTGGATCACACCGGGCATTCCTCATGGATGTTTAGTGTGGGAAATGGTTGGGAGAGATTGTTTTGTTTCTTGCCTTGGAATGTTCATTTAGGATCAGGCAAGATACAGTAGATGATGAGTGATTATACGGTTGAACCCTGTCTCGCTTTATGCCACAGAATCCTTGTTCCACCATTTAAACGCAGCGGCTTTGCACCGGCCATTTTCCATCTTGACGATCCGAAAAAAACACGCTGTGGCGATTCTAACACGCTCGTGCCCAGTTGGACGCTATGCTGCCGGTCGTCGTCGTTTTCGCGCTGCGCAGGCAGTTGCAGGAGCAATCGGACCCAAGTTTCCAAGTGTGCAACGATGAGGAGATCAGCCTTTGTGGCATGAGCGTGGTGCCATGTCAGCGATGGGTGTTCGATGGCGTTTTGGGACTGGCTCAACTCTCCTGAAGATGGTTGATACAGATATCGAAAGCATGTCAGATAGGTGAAAATCCCACGGACACTTATATAAATGTTCCGTTCATGTTTGGACGTAATCCATTAAACTCCCCAGAAATCAGGTTCTCATTCCAGCTACATAATGCATGCTGATTCAATTGCACAGGCAGCTCTCCTCTGAATTGAGGTCCTCAAGCAGATCAAGATGTTAACCTTCTTTATTGATCCCTAGGGCTCCAGTTACCGTTTAAGAAGGTTTGAGGTGGGTTTAGAGGGTCCAAATACCTTCTGAGGCACTTGGAGCCGTAGGGGACGCCATTTCCAGGTGATTCCTCTCCCATTTGTTTGGATCTTGCTTCGCTCCAGAGAGACTCGAGGATCGTGGAAGCCGCACTCTCTTGCTGGATGGTAGTGGCTCTGGTTGGCGCCTGCGGGACGCGTATGACACTGCCTTCGGTCTGCTGAGAGCAGATGAAGGAGGACAGATCCGAGAAGAGCAGGTGTAGCGTCTTTTGCTCAAAGAAATTGGGGCAAAAGATATATATCTATGTTCAGATGTTGACCCTGGGTGCCAGCGTCCCAACATGTGTCCTCAGAATCCTGGCAGGTGGGACCTCTAGAGTCGGGTGACTAATGACTAATGAGTGTTGATGATTAATGCTCAAGAGTGCATCCTGGAATTGAAACTCTTGGGGTATTCAGGAATTAGGATGAATAAGGGATTCATGTAGATATTTGTGTTTTCACACGAAAGCCTGCCAAACGCGTTTGTTGTCAGACCCCAGTAGATTCAGTATTCTAGTACATGTATGCTGGAAGCTCTATATATATACTGTATATATATTGAATTTTGATCAATCTGTAGCTGTCCGATACTCTGTTCTAGAAGCTGATCCTGAGCTCAAGCTGATCTTGAAACCTGAAGTGTTCAGCCTGAAGGCCAGGTTCCTGCTCTAAACTGTATATTGAGCTATATATATACAATTAAACCTAGCACCGAGTCTATTTCTACTGGCAACTCGTATTTGCTGCGATTCTTCACCAGAGCTCCTGACCAATATGAGCAAAGTAGAGTTTATCTTAGATGGCCGGAGGAGTGCCACTCCGTTTCGCGGAGTGATCCGGTTTTGACCTCTGACTATCATGGAACTGGGGGCGGGGCCCGGGCCAAACATCATGAAAGATTGGTCGAGAGGAGGCCTAACAAACATAAAGGATCGGGGTGTTGCTCCACCGCCACCACCTGTGGTTTTTTGATGTGAAAAAGGCTGTTGCCAGCACTATACAAGGTTATGCTTTCACACACACCTGTGGTTCCAGCTGTGCTTTTGCAACATGGCATTGGTTCTCCCTTGCTTCTGGCATTTGGTGCATTTCCATCCTTCCCACCGCCTGCTGTATTGAGTATTTTAAGAGGATGAAACAGCCCGACTCGTGTCCCGACAGCAACCTCCAAGCGTCCCAGGTTTTTACCGGGCTTAAACATCCCAATGCGATTGGTGTTTCACATCCTTCTCGATGAGTTTCTTGTTTCATTTGGAAGAAGATGTGAGGATCTTCACCGAAAATGCCACAGTACTAAGTACTAGGTCATGTTAACCAGGTCACCTCCACCAGGTCACGCACCGGGGCGGTCACCATGAAAAAACCGCCTCGACTCGTCTCGACTCAAGGAGTCCCTGAATGGATGCGGCCCCACCTCCTGGCGGGCTTTGGCCAAGCGTCCACCGCTGGCCCCCTCTGCGAGGAGAGCTCCGTGGAGCAAGGGGGCGCTCTTCCGTGGGTCGCGGTGGGCCAAAAGCGGGAAATGATCGCAGGTGGGTTTTGGTGTGCCGAGAATGAAGAAAATTGGATGTCTCTTTGAGGTTATTGCTTTCCACTTCCATGATGCTTTTGAGGGAGTGCACCCTCTGACGAACACATCATCATGGAAGTGTACCCTCTGATCCCAAAAGGAAGATGACTTTCCTCTACCAACGACTAGTAACAAGAAGCTATTAGGGGTTCCTGGCCTTACTACTAGGAGCATCCTTGCTATTCCACTATATCTTTTGGGCAGCTTTCCAGGGCCACTTCTCAGGAGCCCCTCCGCGGCGTGGCCTTCCTCGTCCACGGCGCCAGCGGCAGCTTCCGAGAGGATGAGGACCGAGCCCAAAAGGTGTGAAAAGTCCAAACTCCAAACTTCCTATATATATTTACCACCTATGGGTGTGAAAAGAAACCCAAACGTGTGTGTGATCCCAAGGTGTGTGGAAGGTCTTCCTATACATCTTAAACGCCAAACTGTTTCTCTTTGAGTCTCTTGGGACCTCTTGGGATCCTTTTTGTTCAGTTCCAGAAGAAGAAACCCCCAAAAAGACCACACGCTCGGTGCCCGGCTGGCCTGGTGGCGTCGGTGTCGCAAAGCAGGATGCTGCGGCTTTGGCTGCAAACCCTTTTGGACCAATGAGTGGGCAGGTCATGGTCGCCACCAAGGAGCGGTTCACCCGAGCGAGTGTGGTTGGTGGTTGTGAACGGAAGCAGGATGCGAGATTTGTGGTTGCAAGAGGGCCGAGGAGTAAGTTGAGATTTGGAACTCACCCAAAGATACCCAAAGTATATAGTTGAAAAGTAAAGTATCATGAGCAAAAGTAAGAGTAAGAGGAATAGGATGGAACAAGCATTCAAGAAGGAAGACTGATGTTTGACCCAAGAGGTTCTTTTTGCCTTGAACCTGCAGTCCGCAGTCGGCATATCAGTCCTGCAGAGCAGTGGAGGTCTTTGTGTCGTCCGCTCAGATAGCAATCGGGTCGGGACTTGTGCTATGAAGTTGATCAATGAATTGGAGTCTTGTAGGCTGATTTAGCTGGAATGCCCTTCCTTGAAACAAGGCCTTGGACAAACCCAGCTTTCTTTCGCCAAAGCACTCACCATATCATAGAAGCATGTTTACACATTGTATGAGCCCTTTTAGTATCTTGTGGTAATTATATTCCTGCATGCTTTTTGAAAGTGAAGATCCCATCCAGCTAGTCCCCATTCTTGATCATTCAAAGACACTTCTGATTGACCTGGGGATCCTGACTGCCTTTGGGTCACCAACTCTCAAAAGATCCAGCAGTTGTAGGAATATTGGGACATGAAATGAGAGCTTACCTTCTTCCTCCAAATAGAAGCACATCAACATTAACATGTTGTAACTAACCCCAGGAAGAAAACCCTTGTGACGAGCTGGAGTCCCGCAGTTTTGACAGGACGCCTGCCGTTATTGCCTGCTACGGAAGGGCTTCTCGCGGATTTCAGAGGATCGGACGTCTTCTTCGGTTGGAGACCGACCGGTGTCGTCCGATGGGGCCCGCCGACAGGGGAGGTGGAATGGTGGATGTCATGATGTGGATGTGTATTGAAAACGGGGAGACCCATCTGCCCAACATTGCCCAAGGTCCTTTTTTGATGTGTTTTTTCTCCCAGAAGCGAAGAAAAACCAGTGTCCGGACGCCTGGGAGGTCTCCGTATTTTAAAGCACACCCACATGTTGCTGCCTATCGAAAAAGTGATTTTCATTTTTTTTTAAACGTGCCAGAGCAGAGTTGTTCCCCACCCGTAGGACTGTGGGGTTGTTAGATTTTTAGAACTTTGGACTTCAGTACGCCCGGTAGCCCAACTTAGCTCTTCCACAGCACACTGGCCAAAGTGA